ACGGGTCCCCCACAGCCCTTAGCCCTGCAATTCTGCAAGGAGAAGGTGCACGTGACAAACCCCAGTAGCCCAAATCGATGCACACAGCAAGGCTACCTATGGCCAGACAGAACCCGGGTGGGGGGGGGCGAGCAAAAATGAGGATAACGGAAGGGTGTGGTGAGGGGATTTCAGTAGGAAACGGACATTTACAGGAGAGCAAGCTTTCCCACCTTGGAACTGCGCACAACCATGCCGACAGGTGAGAGCGGTCAGCACAGGGTAGCAGAGAATTTTTTTAAAAATTAATTCTGGCACGGCTTTTTCTCTGAGAAAAGGAGGTGGGAGGTCCTGGGGGCAGAGCTGTGACCCGGTCTCTAAGCTCAAGTGTGAGATGTGTGTGTGTATGTCTTTCTTGACTTGATTTTAGAAGCTGAATCCATCCCTGCAGCTGAATCTATTCTTTCCGTCCACCAGGCAGGGAGGACTAGAGGTCATACAAAGAATCCTGCCTTCTCTGGACCCAGACATCTTCAGGTGGGAGAGAAGTGCCCCTGGACCAGACCCCTACCCCCTAACCCAGGACAAAGAGGTCCCAACGACGAAGGTCTAGGATGGAAGGTTCCTGCTAGGAGCCAGGCTGTCCGCAACACACCAGCCACCCTTTTCCTTCATGGAGTCCTGGCGCAGCCAAGCTAACGCTGGTCCCTCGCCTGGGAAGAGGCCTTCTTCCCCTCCAGCTAGCTAATGGAAACAAACACAAATGTCTTGTCCTGACAAACATCCGACCTGACTGTATCGAGTCTCCATGGGGGAATGTCGTCCTCACCTGTGTGCAGCTTCCTTCTCACGAATCCCCTGTTCTGGCGTCAGAGATAGGAGGCAGCCCAAGAGAATCCTGGGAGCCTGCAGCGCACTTGCGCAACAGCAATGGCCCAGTCCTGGGACATGGCTGAGAAGGTTTCCTGTTCACTGGTCCACAGGTGACACCATTCCCGATCCCCCCCCCACACACACACACACCTCCTCAGGACCTTTGGAGCCTCCTCTAAGCTTGACCCAAGTCAAAAGCTGATTTGCCGAGGCCTAGGAAACTGTCCTGGCTGGAGCCGTTGCTTATCTTGGAATGATAGTTGCCAAACTAGGTTTCCAGTAACCCCAGCTGCCGCCTTAGGGGAGAAATGTCCTTATTACTGAGGAATCTCATATATTAGGTGGTACTCTCCTTTCCTGTCCCTGGGTCACATTGTGAAACAGCCCCTTGGGTCTGGGCATGCAATTTTCCCTTCGTTCATTCAGATGATGAACTTAGCATCTAGACAAAGTGGCACAATCACCCATAGCTGTGTAGTGTCTTCAGACATTGAGTCAGCAAAATGGAAACTGAGGCCCTGAAGTCACCTTCTCCCTTTCCCACCATCCTTCCCCAAGTCTGGATAACGAATGACGTTGGGTGAATGACGTGCACATCATCAGAAAGCAGCAGAGATGTAAAAAACATACGTGTACAACAACCTCCATGAGACCCCCTGCTCTTTCTGTCCTTGGAAAGAAGAAAATCAAGTGTGCAGCTTTATGTTTGGATTGCTATCTGTAAGTCCTGAGACCCAGGGATTCCCAGAGAAGCTCTGGCCTTGGGTCCCACCGGCATTCAAACAGCAGGCTTCCTGGAGGAATAGACACCCAGGCTCCTGACTCAGGTGTTTACAGGGATGGAGGCAGAAACTTTCCCCCAGAGCTCCCCCTGAAATCCCAAGGACCAGGTCATGTGAATTCTGATCCTTACCCAGCATCCAGACTGGTTTGGGTGCTCAGGTGATGGGAAGGCCATCCTAATTAAAACCACGTGGTGGTGGCCGTGTTACTGTTTAAAACTGCTGGCTCCTTTCTCTGCGTTCCCACCTCCTTTCTCTCCTCAGACTCACACACATGCAACGTTCCCTCCCTCCATTTAAGCAAACAACTCTCGCTGTGATTAAGTGCAGCCCCCTCTTATCTAAATACTGCACAGATGTATGAAGACATGGGAGCTTTCTGCTCTTCTGGAGAGCTCGCCCTGACACCTATCTTCCTCAAAGCCCCACAGAGCAGCCTTCCTTGGCCTCTGCTGACAGAAACCCTAATGCCTGCCCCCTAGTAAATCATCCCTGCTTGGCAGGCCATTCTCCATTTGTCAGGGAAAGGATTTTCCCTCCGAATACTTCAGTCGCCCCTTCCCATCTTGGCTTCCCCCACAGCGAGGGTTTGAAACTGCCCAGATGTGAGCAAATGGAACATGAAAAGTCCCACCTCTGTTGGCAACTTCCTGTCTTACTTCAGCTGTCCAGATAACACCGGCAGCCGGTTAGCTCCAGCAGCCGCCAGTAGTGGGAACTAGCACTATTAAGGGACACAGCTTGAAAAGCTAATGGGGTGCCCGGCCAAGGGGGCAACAAAAGATGGGGTCTTGAGTGCTCCCAAAAGTAGAGGGCACCCCAGAGGGACAGCCATTTAGGGCTAGGAGTGTAGCTCAAAAGTGGACAGCTTGCCTCCTCTGTGCAAGGCCTGGGGTTGGCCTCCCAGCACTGTAAACAATTAAAAGGGAAAAAAAGAAGTAAATGATGGAAGATTAGCCCCAGCTAACATGGGTTTATAATCGACTCCCACTCCCGTTGGTTTTGTTCCCAATTCAAAGTATGGCTCCTACTATGATTGTGGAGGAGATAGTTCCTTAAGAGGACTTCCCAGACTGGTTGTCCCACTGTGTGCAAGGCCTCTCGGGAGCCCCTGAGAGTGTCCCTGCCCAAGGAGTGTTTGGCAGACCCAGCTCCTGCTGTTCCCTAGAGGTGTGGAGTACTTAGGTGGTAGCTCAAGCCTTTAATCCCAGCACTCAGGAGGCAGAAGCAGGCAGATCTTTGTGAGTTTGAGGCCAACTTGATCTACAGAGCGAGTTCCAGGACAGCCAGAGCTGTTACACAGAGAAACCCTGTCTTGAAACACTGAGTGAAAGGAAGGAAGGGAGGGAGACTAGAAAAGAAGGGAGGGAGGGAGGGAAGGAGGAAGGAGAAAGAAAAAGAAATGCTTTGTCTTAGATCCACAGACTCAGAATCTACTCTTGTCCTATGTAGCTGTGGGATTGAATCACAGAAGAACTCTTTGAAGAGCCCGATGTACCCCATTATAAAGGAAACAAAGCCTCATCCCTGCCCTCTGAACCACTTTATTAACTAATATCAAAGTAACCCACAATACTCCAGGAAGTCTTGCAGCAATGTGTGCAGAAGAGAAAAGAAAACGCCCCAAATAAGCACCTGCTTCTCAATCCCAAGCCAAGTTCATGCTATTAACTAGGTTTTGCAAAGATCCACAAACCAGAGTCTTGATACAACCAGTAAACCACTTACAAGTTGTAAATCTAATGTTATCTAGATTGTCAACACCATTCAACTGTCATATGCTCAGGAGAGACAACCAAGATCCTGAAGACTCTGACCCAATGAATAGTTCAATCCGTTGATGAATTAAAATTTTGAATGAACTGTTGGGAGGGAAATCGCAGGTAGGACCTAGTAGGAGGAAGTAGGTCACTGGGGAAGTGTCCTTAAGGCCACATCTTCCTTCCCCTGGCTCCTTCTTTTCTGTGTTTCCTGCGTGTTGTGATCACGTGTTTCAGTGAAGAGGCGGCAAACTAACATATGAGACCTCATTACTACCATTCACATTCAAGATCTCTGGGGGTGGTAGCCAGAAACTGGATGTGGGCACATCACTCTCCGTGACTGTCACACATGCTAACGGCGGAATATGTCCCCTTCTCTCCTACCATTGTCACCAGGAGACTGCCCCAGAGGTTCCTCCTCAGACACCAACGTGGATTTGCTGGCACATCTGGATCCCACATGGGAAGACGGTGGAGTCAACCTCACTTGGACCCACCTCTTGCTGCCCTTTGATAGGGAGGTCTGGAGAGTTCCTTGAGGAGTGACGTGCACTATGCAGACTGAACTCAAGCAAGCCTGTAGTCCTTAGATCACCTGACATGCCTAAGCAGGCCCACCCACTCACAACCCTGGGGACCCTGAATACCCCAGAACCCCCAGAAACAGAAGTAGACTTCTACGCCCTTGTGCTAACTTGTTAGGGAGAGGACACTTTGAAATGTCATGAGACGCTATGGGTCATGGCAGTATGGCTTCTGCAGGGTAGGACCAAGCCAAAAGGAAATTCTCTCCTTAACCCACAGAGAGCCGAGAGGAAGTAACAATGCCCTACTTGGGCAGTGATGGTGCATTAATACTTCACCAGAGTAGATGAGTATCTGAAGATCCTCTATTGTCCCCTAAGAGACAGACGGTGGTGTTCTGCCTGGGTGGGGGAGGCTCTGGTGCACATTTGGAGAAATACTAGCGGTTCTAGTGTGGAGACTTTTTCGCGGGGGGGGGGGGGTACCATGTAATAGAGCCATCGCTACAATGGAAAAATTCCATAGGCAAGAAGCCCAACCCCAAAATAAACATCCAGGGATCAGCAAAGTGTGTCACTCTGGGTACAAAAGCAGGCCCAGTAGGTAATTCAGCTGGGACTCAGGGACTGTGGGTTCTGATTCTAGCCACGCCAGTTGCCCAAAGTCTTCTGGGAAGCCCCAGCCATGTCACGTCTTAGATTGTTCATCTGCAAGATCCCGAATGGGACCACAGCACCAGACACAAACCATTTCTTTAGTTCTAGCAGGTCATTTGAATGTGAACACTAAAATGGACCAGCGAGGGGGGTGGGGGGAAGCCATCTAAAACACGGCAGAAAGTTTGGCCGAGCTAAAACCCACACAGCCAGACAGACATTAGGCTGTTACGGAGAGATGGTTAGTGGGGAAGGAAGGCAGGGAATATTCACTGTCCTTCCCAGGGCTCTTACACCCACCACACCCAGGCACCACGTCAAGGTGATGTTGTGGGACCAGAAGCCATCGCTGGAACACAGGGGAGTATGCAGAGTTGGGGAGCGTGGATGCCGGACAGGCAGTCGGGTAAATCACAACTCACTTTGTTATTGATTGAGTGATTTTAGTCAAGTGAATACATGGCAGGAAAAGCATGAAAACAAAACACATATGGGAATTACTATTACATAAGTGATAACATCAAAACATCTGGTCAAATGTAGTTAAAAAAAACAACACAAATGAAATGGAATGTAAAACGTCTTCACAGTATTCAAAGCTTTTTATAAAAGTTTTGGACTCTCAAAGTGGAGTCCCTCACGAAAGAACTAGGGCCAGCAGGAATTCCATCTGTGTGCTGGGGACCTGCGAAGCCAGGTCAGAGCAGCCAGCATGCCAGCGTGGAGATGTGGCCTCAGGTTTGCTTCTGAAACATATCTCGAAACACTTCCGCTGTGAAGGCACAACAGATCATCTAGCTACACGGAGTCTAACAAGGAAGACAGGCTCTAGCTTTGGGAAATGAGATCTCTGTGATTGAAACCTTCACAGTTAGCCGGAATCCTGCTCAGGCCCGGCCCCCCGGGGGGAACGTAGCGCTAACCCGCTAACCCGCTAACCGCGAGAGTTGAGTGTGGATACAGAATGTCTTAAAATAGTATTACAGTTCTTGCCTCCGAGCCTATCTTCTCTCTACTGGTAGTGCCCAGTGGATCCGCAGGTCTAAGGCTGACCCTTTCCCTGGCAACAATGGTCAGAACGCACATGGACCTCCTCTGCTGGAAGCTGGTGCCGAGGCCCATGAGTCTGCACATTGGTTTGTTGTGCCTTTTGTCGAAAAGAACAAAGGTTGGAGATCATGCAGCTTTGGGGTCATAGATAGCCTCCCTTGCTTGTGCTGACCTGCTGAGATCGCGCTGACAAAACTGGCGTGCACGCGTCTAAAATCCTCACAGGTCCACAATAGAACTCTAATGTCAGGGATTCTGCAGTGGTGGGGTGCGGGGTGGGGGGTGCGACAGCCGCTGCAGTTCACGGGATCAGTTTATTGTGAATTCTTTCTGAGAGCATTGCCTCCTACCTGAGGGTTCTAATCTAGAGCTGCCCAGCATGGCCCCGGCTCGCTTTCTGTGAAACTGCTAACACACCCCCATATAAACTCCCGTAGGAAGTCCTCTGTCACTTGGAGAGGGCCCTGCTGCATGACCCACTTTGCCCAAGTGAGCAGCCCTTCAGCAAGCCCTAAACTAGCAACTCTAGGCCTCACTCTACACACTCATGAAATACACTTGTGTTTCAGTTGAACAATGAGAAAAGTAGACTATTACTAATTACTAATACGTATGTGCATTTTAAAATCATCCAAAAGTATAGGCAAATCATTTAAGGCCCCTAATAACGTTAAGGTTGAGAGAATATTTAAGTGTTATGATAATGGGATTACTAAACAGGAGGTTAACTAGGTCAGTATCCCACTCAGGTCGGTAACTAGGTTGGCTTGTTGATTTCCAGGCTACAGCCGTTCAGAAGTTACCAGAATTTCCCTGTTTCTGTGTCAGTCCAAGGCCACTGGATGACACAACTTCTCACAATGCTGCAGCAGGACTGAGCACCCCAGGGAGACAGACCGCCACTGTGTTCCTTGAGGTGTGCTGGGGAATGAATGAATGGTCAAGACTTTGGTGGAAGAAATCAGCGTTCATGTCTTTTTTCTTTAGAGCTACTCGGACAGCAGGAGTTAGGCTGCGGAAGAGAACCGGCTTATCTACATAATTTACTAAGCATACCAACTTTGAGGACTACTTTTGGGCACTTTTGCCAACGGTTAGCTGTTGTCGCCTTCTCCTTGGGCAGGACACACATCCTCAAAACGCACGAGTGGTGGGAGGGATACAAAAGCAAAAGTGGAGGGGTCAGGCAGGCAGCGGTTTCGAGTATCTTTTAACCATACGCAGTCATGTTGAAAGAAATGGATCTCCTTGGAGAAAAAGGAATCTGGATTGCCCTGTAGATACTGACAGCTTCCACAGCTGTGCGGGTTCCAGGGCAGCAGGGAACTACCATGATGCCACGCCCCCTCCGCAGCACATGCGCAGACAGTTGTTACTTTCCATAGCACATGCGCAGACAGCATGCTCACTAAGAGGGCAGCCTTGGGCAGTTAGAGATACAGATCTTAGTCTTGGTTGTCCTTTAAACGCTCAGTGTGGATTTTTATCAAAGCCTTGAAGGGTGTGTGAGGTTTTGTCACTGTTTATGTAGCGGCTGTTCTTTTGAAATATGACAGATGAAGCCACAATGTGAGGCTCCCCATTCACCCTGACTCGTGACTTGCTGATGCTCTTAGTTTTTTTTTTTTCTTTCACTATGTTTTTGAAAACCATTGGCTGCTCATCCTGAAATGCCTCATATCTCTTCATGCCTGCCCATGTTCCTCCTCATACAAAAGCAAGCCTCCGTCACCTTTGTGTCCCAAGGGATGGATAGGCATGGCCATCTGAGACCAAGAGTCTCCTATCAAAGGTGACTGGTGCAAAAGCTGAGGGTAGAACAGGCAGTGGCCCCCCATCCCACCCCTTGTCTATCGCATTCTGTACTGGGATACCCCAGCTACCTTGGGAGTGTGTGTGTGTATGTTGGGGTGGTGGTGCTCTTGGTTTTATCTAATGCAAAAAAGGGAGGATTACTACCAAACTGAAAGCAACCTGCCTTGCCAATGGTCAAATTTTTCTACCTGCAAGGACTTGGTTTACCCATAGACTCCATGAGCAATTCCTAATGATGTCCAGAGCCGCATACAGCTTGCGTCAGCTGCCCTCACACACTTCTTTCCAAACTGGTAAACGTGTGTGTGTGTGTGTGTGTGTGTGTGTGTGTGTGTGTGTGTGCCTGAGACTCAGTAAAAGGATCCTGCCCCTCCTTTTGCACAGTGACTGCTGGCCCTGCTGCCGCCCTTAAAAAGCCTAAAAAAGTCTAAAGAGCCCTGGACATAGCTGAGTGCGGCTATGTCAAGAGGGGGGAGTGGGGTCGCTGTAGGAATGGAGCCAGCTGCGATGCAAAAGCCACAACTGTAATGGGCAAGAGCAATATGTGAACCCCAAGAGCCAGGGCCGTCCCCTTGCCCCCACCCTCACCCCAGGTCACACACTCCCTCCCCAGTCCACCCCAGTATCACTTAAAAACAGACTGTAAGGTGGGGCACTCGTGGTTTTTCATTTTCTTCATGAAGTTTTTGAACTCCTTGTTTTCCTTGTCCCACTTGTGGATGGCCGTCAGCAGGTACTGGCTCTTCACCTTGCGGCCCATGATGAGAAAGTTGTGGCTGAGGTTGTCCAGCTGGTGGCAGGGACAGTCGGCCCCGTTCTTCAGGAACAGCACGAGCCGCTTCAGCTCCTTCTTCTTAATGGGCCCCAGCTTCAGGGGCTTCTTCTTCTTGGGGACAATCTTCTTGTCACCATTCTCCTTCTTCACCTCTCTGATTTTCATCCGCAGTGCTGGGATGAGGAGGGGGAGGCAGAGAGAGAAGGGGAGGGCGAGGAAGAGAAAGCATTTAGAACACAGCTTTTCACTGGAAACAACAGCCCACCCAGTCCTACAGGAAGGGAACACAGTGACGCTGGTCACTGTACTGCCGAGCTGTGAGAGCCCCCTGGGGGTAGCTGGGGGGGGCATCAAGAGGGTCTCAAATCAATTTCAGGTTTCATCACATTAAGCAAAGTAATTCAGAATTGGAAAGACAAATACTGTTGCATTTCTCTCTCGTGCAGAATAGAGAGGTGTGTTGTGTGTGTGTGTGTGATGTAGGGGTGTGTGGTGTAGGGGTGTATGTGATGTAGGGGTGTGTGATGTGGGGGTTGTGTGATGTGGGGGTTGTGTGATGTAGGGGTGTGTGTGATGTAGGGGTGTGTGATGTAGGGGTGTGTGTGATGTAGGTGTGTGTGCGATGTAGGGGTGTATTGTGCATGCACAAGTGATGAAGGTAGCTTGAGGTGGGGGAAGGGCATATAGCGGGGAAGGGGAGAATAAGCTAATGGGAAGGGATATAAGTGGAAGACAACAATACACATGCATGAATATATCATGAAGCCAATTCTTTTGTATGTCAGAAAATAATATAAAAAGAGAAGAGGTCACACAATTCAACTTAGCCTATATAATCTAATGTTACTGTCCAAAACATTTAAAAAAAAACTTGTCCTAATTGTTTTTTTTTTTTTTTTTTTTTTGTAAGAAAGTTAGTGGTTTTGTTTTCATACCATCCAAAACAAGGCAGATAGACTCTGGGAGCACACGCAGCAAGGGGAACTCAGAGAGCCCTTCAAACTGTATGCCAACGTGTGCTCAACATCAATGCCAACTTCAGCGCAGGTGAAGTCAGAGTTCCTCCAGCTGTCTGTTCAGGGAAGTTTGATCTAAGGAAGGAACTGCCCCACTGATCACTAGGCCACAGATGGACACCTCTGAGGTCCTATCCATGGAAAAGACCCATGCAGAATTAAACTTCACCTTGACTCCCTAACAGTTCAGAGACAGCTTTAGTGGGCACATACAAGTGACAGCCACTCCTCACATCTAATATGCAAGAAGAGCCTCTTGGGTTCTCAGAACCTGGAGAAAGAAATAACAACATACCTTCAGCCCTTCCTCTGCTTTGCTTTGTGTCCACGGATTCTGTGTTAGTTTTTCTTTTCCATAAATATGGGATATGGGACACGGGCCCCACTGTGTGACAGGCAAGCCCTCTACCACTGGACAGCATCCCAGCCCTGAATATTATTTTGAACCTGTGCACAGCTCCTTCAGTGGTGGCCATCAGGAACCCAATGAGCAAAGACATCCACTAAGCACACACTGCTATGCGCTTTAGAAGTAGCCAACACCACATATTAGAAATTGGAACTCATCTTCCAGATATCAGCCACCAGGTAATTGATACATCCCTTGAATTGTTTTGAATTAAAAGTTACCAAGCCAGAGAGTGGGAGGAAGGGAGTGGGAACTGGGATTGGTATGTAAAATGAGAAAAGATAGTTTTAAATAAATAAATAAATTTTTAGAAGAGTTACCAAACCCACCACCACCACCATCACTTTCAAATATCTCAAGACTTCCACTGTATTCCATGAAGAAAGCCTTATTCCTTTAACAGATGGATTCTAGTAACTCCATGAAGAAAGGACAATGATTGACCCCATCTAGGAGATAAGAAAACTGACATTGGGCCAGTCAGTTGGCTTGCTCATTTGTTAGTTTTAAATTCCAACCCCTGTGCATTAATTAACTGTCCGTTACTTCAACAAACTCCTGAGCTAAATCAGCTGATAAGGTGGAAAGTTCTGTTTTGGTTACACTCCAGTTTTCAATTCATCAGTACTGTCCCCCATGGGCATGTGACCAAACATCACCAGATAGCCAGAGCACACGGCGGGAAAAAGCTGCTAGCCACATGGCAGTAAGTAGCAAGCGAGAAGAAAGAAAAGCACAGTGGTTCGGGTTCCCTCAAGACATGCCCAAAATAACTCGTTTCCATCAGACTCATCTGAATGTTACACCAGCTCCCTGAGTGCCACGGGGATGGGGAGGGGGCTCGGGCGGAAGCTGGGGACCAAGCCTGCAGCACATAGGCCTGGGGGCAGAGGGGCTACAGCCAAACCACAGTGCCCTGACGACCAGGACACTTCCAATCGCTGGGCTGTGCCTGCCGCCTCTGTGGTTTCAAAGTTCTTCCTAATGAACCCCAAACTTTGAGTGCTCACCAACCGGATGGAGAAAATAAGGGGCTCAGAGAGGCTCCTAATTCCACTTCCATTTTAGAATGGCTTCTCTCATAAAATGACACAAGAGTCCCTCTGGCTGAAAGAGATAATGCTAGGGGGAGAAGTCACCACAGAATGTTCTGTTGGTTACCAGGCCAAACCTCGGCTCCCTTACAAGCAAAGAGAAGAGTCTTGAGAGCAAATCTTTCACGAACGAACGTGTCTAAGGCTGTGAATTCAAACTACTCCCCCGACCTTTTTCTAGACCTTGAGGCCTACTTAACTCAAGTCCTGCCTAATAAATACTCCAGGCATGAGAAATGTTTCACGCCAGGGCTGACAGAAAAGTCCCAAGTGGACCCTGGTGAACAGGCATTCCTAACTGTTGGCCGCCTAGCTCTTCGGGAGTGCCCAGCACTCATAACAGTAAGGCGAGCAACAGCACCCCAACTTCTGTGAATTCAAAGCATCAACACCCCCGCCTCAGTAGGGTAGGTTGCTGCCCACCGCTTCTGATTTGCTTGAATCTCACCCCCATGATGAACAAAGCAATTGGAAGCCAGCTCCCCCACCCTGCAAGGAACAGACAGGGGAGACTGCCTCTCCAAGGCCTCACCCAGGCGGGCCCAAACTGGCGCACTGGCCCACACTCACCTTGGCTCACACTCCACCTTGAACCTGGGATTTCACTTTAAAAAAAAAAAATCACTTGATTCAGTGTAAAACTTGTTGAAGGAGAGCTCTCAACGGGGTTGAGCGAGGTGAGTGGACAGAAGAGACTCATCAGCCAGGCCAAAGCCAAGGCAGTCTCCTCGCTTCTCAGAGCCAATGGGAACGGAAAACAAACCTTCCCCATTGTTTCCATCTTAGTGTCCTTTGGAGACTTCTGTGTTAAAAGCATAGTCCTGGGTGGGACTATTAGTGGAATGTTGGCAAGGCCGTGAGGGGTCTTTAGGTCACTGATGTGAGCCTTTTGAGAGGGATGGCAGGTCCTGCTGCCCCCCATACCTTCCTCCAATCTTTGGTGCTTTCTGGCCATGAAGTAAGTGAGTGGCTTTCATTCAAGACTGTTCTAATAGCGGACAATGAGGACTACTGAGACCCCAAGAACAATGGCAATGGGTTTTTGATCCTACTGCACCTATTGGTTTTGTGGGAGCCTAGGCAGTTTGGATGCTCATTTTACTAGACCTGGATGGAGGTGGGTGGTCCTTGGACTTCCCACAGGGCAGGGAACCCTGATTGCTCTTTGGGCTGACGAGGGAGGGGGTCTTGATTGGGGGAGGGGGAGGGAAAGGGGAGGCGGCGGTGGGGAAGAGACAGAAATCTTTAATTAATTAATAAAGAAATAAATAAATTTAAAAAAAGACTGTTCTAGCCATAGTGTGCTGCCTCACACAAGGCAACAGGCCAACTGGTCATGCACTAGCCTCCCAAACTGTTAGGCGAAGAAGTCATTCCTGTAGAAGCTGGTTGTGTGAGGTATTCGCTGTGGCAATAGGAAGTGAACTCCCTACTTCTTAAAGAAAGGCTGCAAGGCACTGAGATAACTCGGCTCCTTTCACAAGGTAGATGATGCCCAGGTCCAACGTGTAGAACCCAACCGTGTCTTAGAAGTGGTCAGGTACCACTTGCATTACCACGAGAGACAGAGAGTGATGCACATGCCGGCCACTAACAGGGGACCTTCTTTACTGCACCGAAACATGTCATCATTTACTGAATGCTGCGAGACAAACGCAGGCCAGTTGCTCCATCTACTGCAGCAGTTCCCAAGCCGTGAGCCATGACCCCCACGGGGGTTGCAGATCAGGTTCCTAACAGTAGCAACACTGCGGTTATGAAGTATCAAGGATATCACTTTGTGGTTGGGAGTCACCGCGACATAAGGAGCTGTATTAAAGGGTCGCAGCGTCAGGAAGGTTGAGAGCAGCTCATCTCCTGGCTCTTGGTTGCCACTCACGATGGCAGTCAGGCAGGCATGTCGAGTTCTTTATTACAGGCGAGAAGAAGCAGGGCCACACAATGACAGCACAAGGCTGCCATTTGGAGGAGATGCAATCAGGATTAGAACCCGTAGCCAAGCCCGCTGACCGCGTTCTCTCTTCCCACCCGTTATTGAGTTTAAAACGCTATTGCCTCAGTGGAAACTATTTCTTGATTGTGCTGCTTTTAATCACAACTCAAAAAAAAAATGTTCCTTTGTCGTGACCATGTAAAGGAATTTAGTTTACGTAGGCTGGGGGGCGGTGAAGGGAGGAGGGAAATTGATGATGGGAGTGTGGTTTGCATTAGACGCTCCAGTTCTCCGCTGCTTGGCTTTCTTTCTCAAGGTGAAGAAAGTAAGGAAGAAGGCACATGTGGCCAGAATTGCTAACATCTTTCCACCTTCCCAGGGTTTGCTTTAGGCATGCAGACGACCTGGAGTGTTTGATAGGTAATAACCTGTCCAAGGTTAACTTCCTCTCATCTGTGGGTGCCTGCGCTAACCCCACCACCAGCATGCCATGCCTGTGGCACTGAGGCAGAAGTTGGTACGGGCCCAGAATAGCCAAGAATCTACCACCATTGCTCTCTCTAATCATGCCATGCTCACTGCCAGGAGGCTAGGAAATTCACCCTTGGATGGGTTTGCGATGCAAATGCTGGTGGCATCAAAGACCCAGGGGAGACAGCAGCTGGGAGAGCAGCCTCGGGACACGATACTGTATGGACTGTCTCCCATCTGTAAGACAGAA